AATCACAATTGAATAAAAATGGTGTGGGACGTTGCTTAATATTTTTAAACAGTTATAATTAAATGGAATATGAGTTCTGAATTATATGATAGCCAAATGGAGTAATATATATCTTGTTAAAGTTCTCTTAGGTCAATGTTTTACAATATAAAATTAAATCATCAGTCAAAAGGTAAATGGCAAACATTTAAATATACCTTGCAATGGATAGATAGATAGATAGATAGATAGATAGATAGATAGATAGATAGATAGATAGATAGATAGATAGATAGAATAATAGAGCTAAAGAAAAATACTAAAATAGCAGCTATATCATAGCAGAAAGGATTAAGACAGGAAGGAAATAAGAGTTAAGATAAACACAAATGTGGATTTGCTACCACATTTCCTCTTGAGACAATTTGGGAAGGAAACAGCATCTGAATGGGGCACCACAATCATGAGTAATGCTTTGAAGCTTACCTAAAATCACATGCAGTAGTTAGTTCTGCTCCTCCACCTAGAGCTTTCCCTTGAACTAATGCAGCTGTGATTAGAGGTAACCTACATAACAGGAGAAATAAAAAAGAAATAATTCAAAAATTACAAACCTGAAAATACATATTATATAAGCAGAAATTGGCCTACTCATCTCAAATAAATTATTAAGCAATTCAAGCAAGCAATTCAAGCAGAAGACTAGCAACTGCACAAGATCTGTGGGTTGAAACCCACCCCACTAGAAATCCAGAATTGGCATCAAAAGTCTGAATGGGGCTGTACAATCCAAACCAACAAAATTAGATTATATTTTGAATTAAGAAATTCCTGAGTGTGTTTGTTAAAGGAAAAAAAACCTTCTTCATGGTTCTGTGAGGGCAATTAGATATATTAATTTTATTCAGTGTGGGGAGACAAAGACACCAATTAATTGATGTAGGATAAATGATCCCAAGAAATAATATATTTATAATATATACAAATCTTGCATTCACATTTCAATAATATTTCCTATGAGAAAACCTGTTTCTATATATATTTAGATTAAAAATCCATTCAAAGTCCATTTCATCAAATACATTCTAAATATATGCTGCAATAATGCATACATTTTCTAAACATACTTATAATCTGATGTATTCACTAATTAATCCAAGAAAGGCTGGAAATGCGTCAGGGAGCACTTGAGCCATCCGATCAAAACACCTAGAATAAGTCTACTGAGGATTCCAGCCCATGAGTTCTAAAACGAAGTGTAAGCCAGTAGTAACCCAATAGTCACTCTTTACCACAGTCATCCCAAAACTTGTTAAATGTGCTGTTATAAGAAAGCCATTCTTTGTTATTGTTTTGTTTTAATGTAGGTTAGGGGTTTCTAGCTATATTCTCTGAAATCCTATTAATTTGAACAGAATGGAAATACTGTGGCACAAGTAAATAAATATGAGTAGAGAATTTCCATTGTTGAAGCCTTTAGGGTAATGTTCCCCTAAGCTAAATTAATTGTAAATATATCTAGAAATTAATACATTTTCCCCTGCCATTTTTAAATCACTGGAGCACAAATGGACAAAAAAATGTGACATAGCAACAGATATAAAATTCTATTTTAGATTGTTTCTTTAAATGTTCTTATTAAACCTAGTCATAGAAAGAAATTAAGAATACACACTTCTCAGAAAGAAACTGGCTCAGTCCTAGACAGTGTTAAAGTAACTTTCCATTGCCAATTCAGATGGCTTTTGTCCTTGAGAGATTGAGGGTCATCTTGTTCTTTGTATATCATTGTATGTCTTGGCCAACCTTCAGTACAGCACAAAATTAATTTACTAAGCATTTTCTCCTAATTCTCTTCACTTTTATAAAAATGATAGGATTTTATAACACTCAGACAGCCAAAGTTCTGATGAATGGAGATCTAACAGAGAAGATTGAAATAAAAAAAGGAGTCAGACAGGGATGCCCCCTCTCTCCTTTGCTGTTTATATTAACTTTGGAAATTTTATTAAATGAATTTCATAAGGACCAGGGAATAAAAGGTTTAAGACTCAAAAACTGAAGAATATAAGGCCCAAGCCTATGCTGA